GTTTGGTGTGTGTGTGTGGTGGGTGTGTATGAGGTATGTGTGTGTGTGGTAGGATATAAGGCTGTGTGGGGGGCATTGTGTATATGTAGGGGGTTGTAGGTGCAGGGTGTGGGGACCTCCCCACACTCCCCTCATGGCGCAGCAGCAGGCAGGGTGCTCAGGGTGCCAGGTGCTCAGCGGGGCATGCCTCTGGCCAGTGCTGCACATTGGGGCAAGGGGCACAGCCTCCACCAGGGCTGTCTGTATTGTTGGTGCTCCCTGCCAGTCATGTGCAGCCCCTGCACTAGGACAGCACAGGAGGGAAGCCCCGTGGGCTTCCCACTGCCTTACCCACTAGGGTACACTGCAGAGGCGGGAAGCCCCGGGTGCCTTCCCCTGGGGGGCAGGGAAGGCTGTGGTCTCCAGCCCACAGGGCTTTTTCCCTGTGCTGCACAGCCCTGGCAGCAAAGGCACCTGGCTCCAGCATGCGGGGCTTTCCTTCTGTGCTGTGCTAGTTCAGGGACTGCGCACTGGCAGTACCAGTATGGACGCCTGAGTGCCCTGCCTGCTGCTGCTGGTGTTGCCACCGCCTGCCGGGGCTGCGTGCTATGTGGGAGTGTGGTAGGGTCTGCACATGCCCCCCACCCTCCCTCACACCCACGTGCTGCCCACCCCAGCTCCCTGCTGCTGCTGCCACCCCAGCCCCATGCTCCGCGCTGCAGCCCTGCCCATGTTGCTTCCCTACCTGCTGCCTGGAGCCAGCTGGAGACCAGGGAAGCAGAGCAGGTCCCTGGGGCTGCAGCATTGGCAGCAGCAGCCCCACCCAGAAGCTGCACAAGGGTGGGAGTGAGGCAATAGGGTATGTTTGGGGAGCAGGTGTACATGTGGGTGCGTTGCTCCCACCCCCATGGGCGGAAGGGCTGGGCAGGGCACATGAAAGGGCTTGGTGGGCCGGATCCGCCCTGTGGGCTGTATTTTGCCCGCCCCTGCTATACACCAATATCCTAATGTGGTGTGTTGTAGAGACTGATGTGACCAACTTGCATGCATGTTACAAACCTGGAGAATTAAAACCAACATGCAGAAGACTTAAAGACTTCTAAAAGTTAAGGAGGCTGAAGAACAGAGATGGAGTTAGCCTCAGTTTGAAATTCTGGAATAAAAGCAAAGCAACATGAGCACTAGAAAATATCAGACATATTTGGTATACATGTTATCCCATATTTCCATGTAGTGGTTTGAGAAGAGGAACAAGTTTGTTCTGTGCATGTAAAGCACAATGGGTTTCTTTCTTCTTGCCTTTCCAAAATAATCCATTTGTGTAGCATTTTGTGCAAATATTTACATGTGTTTTGGTTTGTTTTTTCATTTAGGGATGTTTAAAGGGGACTTCAATATCATAGTAAAATCTGGAAGATGTGGACAAACAGCTGAGTGAAAACTCAAAGCAGTCATATGGATTTAAAGCTGGTTTATTTTACAAGTGCCAAGAATCAGTTTGTTTTGTTTAGATAAAACTATATTATGGCATTAAAAACTCGAAGACATGAGCATTCTTACATCAATAAAACAAGCACTGGTATTAAACGTGAACTAATTGCTAATTCTCCAAACTGATTCAGTGCATGTTTTCCCAGGACTTAGCTTGGTTTGTGGGTACACTTGAAATTAGGTCAGTCTATTGTGTTTTCTTCAGTTGCCTACTTGGTTTTTTATTCCCTGTGGGAGAAATTTGCCCCAGCTATATGGAGTGAGCATAGGTTTTCCCCAGGTGACAGTATATTTTAAAATTGAAAGCTAATGTAAATCTTCACCTTTAGGACAGACATGCTGCTTCTGTCTTACTCTTGAGTAGATGCTTGTCAGCTGCTGATCAAACTCTGTGTGTGTGTGTGTGTGTGTGTGTGTGTGTTGCTCATTTACATAACAAACAGTAGCTCTATTTAGGTTCAACATCTGGTTCTTATTGAGGTCCTGCTTTTTACACAGTTATTGCTATTCCCTTGGCTGAGCTCAAGATGGTCCAGTGGCTTACTAAAGATCAGCTCATTCTAAATTTGAACTTTCCCTGCTTTCCTATTTTCTAGCCTTTTGGTGTTGTTACCCAGAATGCACCATTGATGCTGCTTGCCATTTATCTTTCAAAAAGCACTGTATATTTCAGATCCCAGTAAGTAACTTGGTGTCTCTTATCTGTGCATCTGGGCTCATGGTAGAGGTGATATCTTTTATTAGACCAACAAGATTTTTGCAAAAAAACAAGGGAGCTGAGAGACTCCTTACCAGCTAAGAACTCTCTGCCCAGAGGAGTTTTCCATCTATTGACTCCTCTGTCAAATCCTATGACAGATGAACTTTCATTTCTACCCAGGAGAACTTTTACAATCTTTTCTCTGATGCTGGATGAAGGATGTTTGTGCCTGAAAGCTTGCAATTAAAGATTTGGGGGGGGAGGGAGAAGGAGGCAAAAATCTTGATGGTCTAATAAAAGATATCACCTCTACCATGAGCCCTGATTTATTTTGCCTCTAGGCCAATATGGCTATAACCTGGATACCTTGTCTGTGCACGTGGGTTTTTTTTTTTTTAGTAAAAGCAACTCATTGCAAAAACAAGTTGGATTCTTCCATTTGTATGTTTAAAAATTTACCGGGAGGTGGCAATTGGTAAATGGGTTCAGGGAAGGGAAGTTTGTGAGGGCTTTCTGTAACTATTTTGGTCTCCCTTCCTTGGCAAGGTAAATGCCATATAAAATAGTTGGGGCCCAGCTGGGCCCCAAATTACTACTTCTTTTTTACAATAGGTAGGACCAGAATGCTGAGCATCACATTTACAGAGTAGGTAAACTCCCCTTTGTGAACCTCACATCTGGTGTACACATAATAGCGCCTGAGTGAGTGATCAGGAGTCTAACTTTCTTGCTGATGCAGTGATATTGATGTATTCATACCAGTTACCTTCATACAGTATCTTATTTCCCTTTCCCAGGTGGGAAAAATCTATACTGGTGTAAGAACACTATCAGTTGTCTAACAAGCTCTACAGTGAGGGTGCTGTACTGCTCTTACTTCTACCTGCATAGTTAATGCAATGGAGTTATACATTGTTGTATACTTAAGGCCAATCACTGTAATGCGGAAGTTGGAGAAACTGCTCTAGGGGAAGGGGCTGTTGTCAATTCCATTGCTTCTGGAAATAGGAGGAAAAACTCCCTGGAATACAGAAGAGTGTAGCTGTGAAGCCCAGAAAATGCACAAGGAGTCAATGAGCAGCAGTTATGAAGGCTACGTTTTTCTGGATTGGGCCCTTGAAAATAATCTCGGGTAAGATGGGCAAACCCCGCCCCCAGACAAAACCAACAACAGCATAGTCCTGTGAGAGAGAGCTTGCTTGTACAAATAGAGGATAAATCATAATTCTAGATGAGAGCTACTGTTTGATGCTTGTTAACTTAAAAAAAATTCGAGATAGGCCAGTTGTTCCATGTGTTCTTTATATAGTACCTTTCTTACATTTTTGCTATACTGAGTTTCCTTGCTTCTCCATTCCCCTTTTCTGTTAAAGAATCCTTCTTTCTTTGTTCTCTCCTGAGATCACATGAAAGCAAGATTGTGTACTGCATTCTGTATTCTAACACTTCGCGCGCCCACAAGTATCTAGAAATGCACTATAAATAGGAGGCATGAGTAAATATGAAAATAATTACAGTTGCCTAAACTCCTTTATGTGTAATAGGAAAAGCAGCATCCGTCACTATTTGTCTTGCCATTACATTTCAATTATTTTTATGACTGTATTCTGTTGAATATTAATTCTGAAGGATAGCAAAGCAATTGATAGCTTATCATATGGTCTGTAGAGGTTCACTGAAGTGAAAGCTGCTCTAGGATGGTAATTCAGTAGTCTGTGATGCAATGCTAAGGAGGGGTAAGGGAACAAGAGGATCTTTATGGCCAAGGAGAGTTGGAAAACAGAGTAGGTTTTTCATGTTTGTGTGTGCACAGACTTGTTTCCTAATTTTCAAAGTTACAGTCCATGTTGTTCTGTTAATCTGCTGTGGAAATGTGAAGTGCTTGTTTACCAGTTATTGTTCTACATTCTCAGAAGTGTTTAACGTAGGAGGTTTAGATCAGATCACTAAACTGGTACTTCAGTACATGGAACAGTTTTTTGAGTGCATCATATAGTGCATAGGAATGCTTTTGTCCCCAGATAAAGTGTTAAATAAATTATAGCCACTGGGTGGTGATGTTGCACTGTGTAAATGTATTTTGCCACTTAATCTTGGAGATCTACAACCCAGCAACGTGCTAAAGCTTAGCTAGAACCAAGCTCTTTGTCACCTTTCCTTCTATTACCCACCAACCCTCTAAGTATCACTGGAGTCTTTTTTTTCTGTTTTCAAGCAAAAGCAAATGTGGAATAAGGTGCTGTTTGACTTGCCTGACTGTAGATCAACTTTCAATTTCTTTTAGAGGGAGCTTTGTACCATACGACAGGCCCAGGTAGTGAGGTAATATCCCACATAAAGGGGATTTGGTTCACATATCACAAAATATGCTAAATGTTAAATTTGTTTTTTCAAAAGCTTTTATTAAATCCATATTTGTGTTTCAGAAATGTGCCAAGAAGTGTTCTAATGAAGCAGCACCTGGGGGTTAATAAATGATATCATGAATCCATTTTGATTGCCAAAAAAGATTTTAATAAAGGAAGCTATGCCTAGGGTTGTCTGCGTTTTTGTTCAGGAAAAATAATTGTTTTATTTCCACATTTCTTTTATTGTTTTGCTTAAACCATGTTTTCATAGTAGTGTTGAGTCCTCTTATAATTCTCTTGCATGATGGGTATATAGTAATGCAGCATGTGAACCCTCAAGTTATCTGGGTGTCTTTTTTGTAGACAGTGTAAATACAGACGCTTGTTTTGTTGCAGTGTAAAAGATTCTGATCCTCCCTCTCCATATTTTTACACTGATCTGTGTGGGTTGTTTTTTCCTTCTTTGGATGCTCTCTCTTCAGGGTGAAGTAAAATCTGATGAAGGGCCAGCTTGGAATATTCTGCGTGACGACTTCATGATGGGAGCATCCATGAAAGATTGGGATAAAGACAGTGACCAGGAAAGTGATGCTGCACAAGACAACAGATTAAGGCAAGATAATGAAAATGACTAATGGATGGGATACTACGAAAGAATGCTCAAGATAAAAAAAATATTATCTTGTTACATTACTTGGATGTAAAGAACTCTACATTCTGTGAATGCACAATGTTTTGGGGATTGTAGAGAGACTTTTTTTTCCAATTAAAGCAGCAGCTTGCTTAGGTTTGGGGGTTATTTCTTATTAGCTTTGAACTTTTATTTAACGTAACTTCGTTCACTGTACAGAAATCCTAGAAATATATTTTTCCAAAACATGTATAATTGTCAGCATGTTTCCAAAACATTTGTACAGTCAAAACAGTGGCACCTGCCCAATGAATGATACCTTTTGCCAAGGTTATTAAAAGTTTATGTATTAGTCATGGTGGTTGACGTATTATTGCGCTTGCATTTCCAAATCAATGTTGGACATTTGCAAAGGTGTTAGCAATTTGTAATAGAAATGACTTGCGAAGTGATAGCATTTTTTGTGTTTATTGTGAAGTTATCAGTCTCTTACAGACTCTATATTATGTTAACCAGGAAATGTTTTGTAAATAACAAAGAAAAGTAACTGTTAATGTGATCCTTCTGGTTTCTGAGAATTGATTTGATTGGAGACACCAATAGAAACTTAATTTTTTTTAAGAAGAGAGCGATTCATCCCTATTGATTGATGTTACTTACATCTTTATATTTTCCCTTTTTTGGTAAGGCTGAAGTTAATTTCAGTATTAGACAGGGAAAGCAAAATTACTCTTTCTGCTTTTTTAACAATCATTTAAAGTTCTAGTGAGTAAAATTACTTGACTTGATGTATTGATATCTTCATCTCAGAAAGTTGTCAGACCTATGAGGTCATTGTAGTTTTGGGGATGAATTTAGTTCTTGATTAACTGGTATTTATAAAGTGCTATCTGTGTATATTACATCAAAACATGTCAAAGAAGAGTCCTTTCTCTTTATATTATTTGTTGTTGAAGGCTGGATTCTCCACTGGCATAAGCCAGTTTATCTCTGTTGGCTTCTCTTCAGCTGTATCAATTCACACTAGCTGATAATCTTACTCTTAACAGGCAGTAAGTGCAGTGCATATGTAGAGGAAGGAACCTCATGGCTACTGAATTTGAAGGAAGAGCCAGGGGACTGAATTCTGTTGCCTCCCACCTCAGACTTGCCTTGTTTGGGTTATGTCACTGTCTTTGTTTCCCCATTTGTAAAACGGAGATCACCCTTCATGGCCGTTAAGCCTAAGTTCACTGATATTTTATCTTTTTAATTTATAGTAGTAGGTCTGTTGCTGTGGATTTCTCATTCACGCAGCCATCTTTGTATCTTGGTACATGTAGGATTTTCTGAAGAGTGCCTTCACTAAACTAAAATATATATTTTAATATTCGACTATTCAAAAGCTAGGTGAAATAAGAAAGCTTCATTGATTTGACATAAGCAATCTACAAATGTTATATTTGACCGAGGGGTTTAGATTTAGTAATCAGGGGAGGGGATATTTGTGTATTACAGAATAAAAACACAGTATACATAAATAAGCTCCCTAAGTTGTGTCAGTTGTTCTGTTATCCTGTAGCATGTTCATCTGGTATAACTAGCATAACTCTTTGACGAGAGCTCAGTGCTAACAGGAAAAATGTTTACATTTTCAAGCTGGTTTGAGTGTTAAGCATATTAGATATCTAAAGAGACATTAGTTTGTGGCCTGATATTTATTATCACAAATGAAGGCATACACCCAAAAATATCAAGTGGCAAAACCACAAAAGTTTGAGATAAATTTATCCCAAATTCTAAGGATTAGATATCTGTATAACGATTAAACAGTTCTGTCAAACTAGTAGAATTGGCATCTCATTAGTGCAATACAAAAATATACTCTAAGAGGTAATGTATTTTGAATTGTATAGATACTGTTAGTCTTGCATGGTATTTCTCTGCTTCTATAGAGTTTAATTTTAGTTACTTGCAGCAAAGCCCGCATGGTGACGTTAAATCTATTACTTTACTAGAGGATAGTCATTAGAATTTTCTTTCCTCTTAAGGCCTGATACTGATGGTACAACAAATACCTGTTCGATATCAACAGGATCTGGCTCTGGTCAGTGCTGTTGAGATCAAATTCTTGAAGATTACTTTTCCTCCCAGAAAGTTGCCTTAGAAACTGCTGTATAATTTGAAATAACTGTAAACTTTCTCATACTTCCATAATCTTTTGCCAGATTGCAAAATTTGTTTGTATGCATTTAGCTTTTGTGTTGAAGCTGTGACCAAAGCGTTGCGGTAGGTGTAAATTAGCATTAAGAAAAACAGACAGAGTATTCATAAACAGTGTGTCCCAAGAGCAACTGTTGGTTTTCCTTTTTTAAGATTGCAGATGAGTACTGTTTAAAATGTGGTGCCATGTCCGTTTACTGGTTTAAATTCCTCTTATCTGGAATGAAATATAGAAAAATCAGCTCATCTCAAGAGTGTTTGAATTAGTAAATTACTGACAACCCTGTTGTCCAAGATGCAGTAAATTTGGTATGTGTGAACTTCAGTCATATGGTTTTATTTTATTTTTTAGGACTCTATTGACCAGTAAGATATTTTGAGTGGGTGGCTTTTTTCTTTTCTTTAAGAAAGCCTGAAATAATAGAGCATGCAAATACTTAAATATTGTAATGCTTTATCTAAAACAGATCCCTTGGGAATGTTCTTTCCCTCCCAGTCCCTTCCCCCCGTGCACGCACTTGCTGCCTCCACCATCACGTGAATCAAGTACCTTATTTCATTATATAGAAATGGTCAACTTTAGGTTAATCTTTAGATAAAGTCTTAATTTGAAGCTTTAAATGGGTTGTAATGAGAGAACGACTTGCTTTATGAAAGTGGAAAGTATGCTTAGAACCTGAAGGTGAGTGGGAGCTATAAATGTTGGGCATTTATGGGGATAAATTAGCTTTGGGATGGATGTCTCCCCTGAACCTACATGTGTGACTGGTCAGAATCACAAACAAAGAGTTGTAAAGGAGAGCCAGAACTGGAACAGAGAAGTCCTATTTGCTAGTCTGGTGTTTTATGCACAGGAGCAGTTTATCAGCCACCTCTAGCAGCATACCATTACTGCATTAGAGCAAGGATTGGAGGTTTGTTCTTAAGTGTTCTCTCTTGCTCCCATAAATATCCATGTTTCAGAGAGCTGTGCTGCCATATCTCCTTCCATAGGGGAGGAATTAATGATCACACTTGATTAAGGATCACACTTATATCACACCTTTCTATAAAAAAACAAAAATGGGACCACCTAAACCCAGTTGGTTCAAAGCTTGTTGAGCTCCTAGCAGGCTCTGTAATGTGCACAGCTGGACAAGTATGTTTTTCCATGATTGCAGGCTAATAAACAAGCCTGCATTTTGGAGGGAAGGCACAAAGCTGTCACTGTTAAGCTTTCCTTGCTTTCCTCTTGCCCAGTTTCCCTTAATCTGTTAATTGTAGCCTCATCTTCAGAAGCAGAATCATGATTTGATCTGTGTGGAGAAAGGAGCAGCACAGCTTCCAGTCTAACCCTGTGCAAGGAGGTCTGTTTGGGATGGGATGTTCTGGGGGGTCTTCCATGGGAGCTTTGGGTGTGGCGGTTCTCACCAGCTATTGGTTTCTGTGCTCAGACAGGTTGTCTGTCTGACTGTGAAGAGCATGATGAACTAAGAATTTCTCCAGCAGGAGGCTATGGGCTGCCAACTCTGCTGGCTTTCCGGTGGCAGCAGTACTTTTTCCAGAAAAAGGGAGGCAGGCGGAAATAACTGCTCCAGGTCATCCAAATGTTATGAGTAGACTTGATGCTTCTAGAACAGGGTGGCCGATGTAAATGCATGAGCTTCGTGTGCTTAGAGCTGGCTCTGTAGCCCTGTCCAAGGAAGAAAGCAGTAGCACCTGGCCTGCAGTGCACTGTACAAGTTAGAAGAAGGACCAGTTCCTACTCTTACAAAATGATTCTTGGCATCTTTACTATTCACGCAGAGCAGTCATAAGTTTGTTTCCTTACAAATTGCTCAGTTACTCATCCAGGATTTGGTTCTAGATAAGAGGTGTGAGGGAGGAAGACTTGACATGTTAGTGAACTTTCAGATCTTGTTAGAATTGATCAGCCATGGATCAAATATCCAGAGACCAAACAAGCTGTTAAGCATAAGAGGGGGAAATTTTTTTTAAGTGGTTAATCACTGTCACACCTTAAACTTGCTCACAAACAACAGACATGTAAAATACTAGTCATTCAGCTAATGGGGACAGTGCTACTGGGCAATACATTCTTTTCCAAAAAGGAAAAGGAAAACTTGATGACTTTGTTTCCCTGTCTCCTTATAATCATTGTAGAGAGATGCCTTAAGCGTTTGGAATAAGAGTTTAATAAATAATGCCACAGGACAAACACTGTACCAGAAAGTTAACTTGAAGACCCAGAGTTCCTTATTTCTTAGACCAGACATTTGCTTCTAACTGATTTTTTTTTTTTCTTTTAAACTGTCTTCAGGTATACTAACTGAATAAAACCAAGTTTGAAGTATGTGGTTCCAGCACTAGAAAACATTTTTTGCTTTTTGTCTCTACAGAATGCTTTAATCTTTAGAAGGATTTTGATCATTCAAACCTATGTATAACCTGGTTCATGTCATGACTTTCATTGGGCTCCCAAATTGTGTCAGTATTTGGAAATCTCCTTGCAAAAAAGTGTATAGCGTGGTGTTTCAGGTATTTAAGTAAGATGACCCGTAGCCCCTTACTTCATTCTAGTGCATGGGGAGGAAAGGCTTGTGCATCGCCATGCAGAACATTGCTGAAAACAGAACTCAGGGATTTTAGCAATTCTACAATCAGATCAGGCTCAATCAGCAAAGATGTCAGTTAGGGCTGCTCCTTACTGGCATCACTTGCAGGAGTCTAGGCTGGATCATGCCTCCAGTGGCAAAAATAGCTCACCTAAGGGATGTACTAGATGCACTTCATATTTAATGCTTTGTTTCCAGAATATGTGCAACTGTCAACAAATCTTATAATCACGTTACACACCTGAGGAAAGCATCACAGATGGTTACAAGTACACTAATAAAAGGTGTTGTGGGTGCCATAGCTGCATGTATCCTACTGACCTGTTGACATTTCTAACCATTTATTAAAATATTAAAATTACAGAAGGTTTGTCCTAACTATGGTTACTGAATCTTGGTTCTTGAAAGAGTTTGTACTTTCTCTTCAACTGCAATTCTGTTACCTCCGTCAATAAATTCACAGGATAGCTGTGGATCAGAATGTTATTGAATTATTTCCCCTGTCAGTCCTTCTTGTGAAGGGTACTGCGTATTGTGTCATCCAGTTAAATTAATATTGCTTTCACTTATTGCCTGGAATATTTGAATTTCTCAAAGAGCATAATGAATTTTAGGTAAAATAAATCTTACAAAGTAATTTCAATTCATGAGATGAACAATTTGTTTTTAGTAAGATGTATATATAGTTGTTCAAATACTTTGAGTAATGATAAACTTGAAAAGTGTTGCCAGCGGGGTTAGAAATACATGTTGGGAATAAAACTCCAAATTCCCAGTTCTGCCACTTACTGCATGACATTGAAATGTATGGTGGGATGGGAGAGGAGTGTACTTGGAACATGCTTTCAAAACTGGCATCTAAGTTAAAGTATCATAATTTTATTCATTTATATATATTACTTTAAAAAATGACTGATTTGTGACAGGGTTCAAGGTGCTTGGCTACAAAGATCACAGCCCCAGGCCTGCATGCTGGCATGCAGTCATCTCCTTCCTTCCCCCAGTTCAGATTTTGGTAGGTGACTCTGTGATTCTTGCTGATTACCTCAGAATAAAAGATATAGATTAGCTCTCTGAGAGCTAGACATGTACAACCAATCTGATCTACTGGTGAGTGGTATACCCTGCATTCAAGTCGCATAACATGAGTCTTCCAGTGACCTTCACTAATGGAATAGTCTTTTGTGACGGATAACATGCACTTATACTGAAAAGTACTGTCACTTTATTCCTGTGCCTTGTTTTTCTTATACAGCTAATGCATGTTCAGAGTTGTAAAGGATTATGGAATTTCACAGATCTATTGCAGTTTAAAAATCTGGCTGAAAAAGTTAATTACACTATACCACACTATACTAAAGATATCTTTAACAAATCTCTTATTCAAATCAGTGTTAAGGTGAATGAGGAGAGAGGCACCTGGCAAAGAGAATTTATGTCTTGAAAGATGCTGAAGTCTCAGGTTTGTTGATTTAAGTCCTCTATTCATCAGCACTAAGCACACTAGAGCAGGATTCTGTTACACTGCCCTGCCAGTTCACTATCATGCACATTCAGGCTGAGAGTACTCTATTATGGTGGCTAGTACTCAAATGATAGCTAGTATATATGGACATTCAGGCTTTTAACCTCATTATACTTGTGATACTTAAACAGCTATTGGCAGCTAATTAGTATAGCATCTTGTGTTGCCTTTAAACTAGTGACCTAGAGCTGGTTAAAATTGATATATTGCCTAGTTGTTCAACATTATCAAGCATCATGGAGAGGGAGGAAAAGCATTTGAAAGTGGTGCATTGCAACATAAGCAATAATGAGTTCTAATCTAAATCTCCTGTCAATTTAGCCATTTAAATTTCATAACAAAATCTGGAGTATGCCTAACAATTTGATCTGTTTCTCCAAGTTATTTATGTTTTATTATAAAGTTCCTTGGTCTAGGCTTTTTAACAAAAGCTACACCTTCTTGATATTTCACTTGAGCACAAGATGAACAGGAAGGAGAATATTGAATAGAATTTGGGCCAAGATTTTAGTGAAATTAATAAAAATTGAAACAAAGAAAATTCTGAGCAATTTTAGACATGCAGGTGTGTGTGTGTGTGTATAATGGTGAATATACCAAAGAGAAAGATGCTAAATGGTGACTGCCATGACAAGATACCTGAATAAACTTATGGATTTTTCTTGTGTGTAAATTTTCTATAAAATTGATCAGAAATGGTACCAGGTGGATGGGAGGGAGGAAAGTTCCAATAATTAAATAGTATCTAAAGAGCTAATCTCTTGTATTTATTAGAGCAAGAGAGTCAAGCCTCTTGTTTACAGTGGTCTGTGGCCCAGAGTCTGGTGTTCTTGTAGTCCATTTGGCACAGAGCTCCTCTTGCATGCTATTAATTTTTTTTCAGTAGAAGCTTTGAAACATTCAGATTAGTTAGCAATTGTATTGCTTTTAAAAAAAAAATAAAATTCTGTCCTTAAGCTATGACCTGATTTGGTAGGTTGAAGAGGGATCTTGCAGAAGCAAGAATCACCTGGGGGCATTTTATTTTACTTGGTTCTGATGCCTTTTAGGTAGAGGTGCTCCTCATAAGTGGTCACCTGTAGAAGTTATACATCTTTTTTTATAAGCTGCAGTATGAAATCTCCTCCATACTCTTCCCTTCCACTTGTCATTGGGTACCTGTGGAGCAAGGAGACAAAACTCAGAGGACTGGATTTGTGGCTCACAGGTATGCAGGGAGAGTGGACTTCTCTGGTGGCCTATTGTCTTTTCTCTCTGTCTCCCCAAGTTTGGGTACTCATGTGGGGCCTGCCACCATCTTCTTTATGTCTGTCCCTCATTGAAATAGGGGTAATCCCATGGTAATGGATAGTTACCTAATTGGAGTTGCCTGGTTCCATAGAAGTTGAAAGTTATGTTTTCCTGTTGAGACACGAATGTTTGTTCCAACGCAGGACAAATGCATATAAGGGCCATTCCTGCTCCCACTGAAGTCAATAGGAACTTTGAAAACAGAGAAGTGTTCGCATCCTACACTTCCTTATGTGAATGAAAATAACATTTTTGTAACCATTGTTCATTCTGATTTTATGAAGTAATTTGTTTACTGCTATAAAAGTGGCACTACCAAATTTATATGGGAGTATGGTAAATGTTGGTTTAGAGAGAGGGACAGCTGAGAGTTATGTCCCTGTATGTGGGTGGCCCTAGCAGCTGTTAATCCACCCCAAATCTGGCTTACTTTAGAATGCTATAGAATAGTCTCCATAGTCTTACAGAGTCGGGGGGTTGGCTCTAAATGAATAAATTGAGCAGCTGAATAGAAGTGAGGAGATTTGTGGCTGTGGAGTCTTCAAATTACGTATACAAGAGAGAATGAATTTCAAGTAATTTATGGAAATGTAAGCACATTTGTATTTTTGGGGCTTGAAAAGTCCTCCAACATCAGTAAGCCTTTCCCTCCTGCAAGTGTAAGATCATAGCCCTGCATAAGAGGGTGTGTCTGATCCTGAGCTGATTTTGATGCATCAAGTCAAAAAAAAGCTCTCTGGGTTGACCGGTTTGCCCTCTGCATGAGACAGTAGGGCAAAATAACATCTCCCAGTTAGCAAATACTTTAAGGACATCACTGAGGGTATATATAGAAAATGAGCAGAGAAACTGGATGGCTCAAGTTGATTATCAAGCTGAGCTTGATAATCGGCTCAGCTGATACTTTTTGATTGTAGTTTGTATTGAGACAAATGCCAGATGGGGCAAAGATACTGAACTACCTACTTATGTTGTATAGGTGATAGCTTCACAGTTAGGGGATACTTCATGCCATTAGATAAATGCAAGACTGTAACTTGCAAGGATGGAAATTATTTCTGTGGTCTCTGTATATGTTGAAACAGCCCAAACATGTACAATACCAAACTGGAAGAGAGAGGGAACCTGTGGTCCATGGGCTGGATCCAGCTCACTATGTCAGAGGGTGGTTTGTTGATGTTCATAGTGGGGGGTTTTACCTGAGCTGGGGAGAAGCAGCAGCCAGGTCTTAGCACTGGCCCAATTTAGGCCCAAACTGAGTCATTCCATCACCAGAAAATGTTTCCAACTGCTGACCTACCATGTTCATTAACGATTAAAACCCCCCAGTTCTGGTTCTAAATGGGAGGCCACTTTTTCTTCAGTTCTCTATAGAAAGATTACTGCTGGAAGGAGTAGTAGAGGCCAAGATTTTTGTGTGCTGTTTTATGGATAGTTTTGTTCACTTAAAGATTAAATTGGCTTCTGTGTGTAGCAATCACACAAGGTTGATCTAATACTACATTTATTCACATACCACATGCATCATGCCCCCTCCCATCCTCCTCCTGCCCTCCCTCCCCCCCCCCCCCCCCCAAAAAAAAAAAAAAATCAGCTTTCTAAAATGTGGATGCAAGAGGGGAAGCTGGTGGTTTTTTGTTTGGTTTTTTTTTCCTTGCTGGGATAGGAGCGTGGTAGGATAGAGCAACCAGGAACTGACTCATAGCTGTGGAAATGGTTGCTTTTTCTCCCTGGGGTTGCAAAGAGCAGGGCCAGTGTTAAACTTCTCACAACTGCCAGTGAGGCAGTAGCATTTGGTTGAAAAGCCACTGAGCTCACTGGGAATGAGTCAGCTGCTTACATGCATCTTGATGGGATTTCTGGTGTTATTTACAGGAAATTTCATATAAAGACCTACTTATGATAAAGAAATAACAGTCTTACTACTGCCCTCATAAGGTTTGGGGCCTGGCCTTGTTGCTGTCCTGACACACAACAAAGTTCCTGCTGCCTTCTAGGATGCCACACTTCCTGGGCACTTCGTGTTTCCAGGAGGAAATACTCTTTTTCACAGTTTGCCTTGACTCTGAGAGAATCTTTTCTTTTCTACGTTTTGTCTTCCAAACACAAGGTGCATGGTTTATTGGGGGAAGAGGTACATCAAAAAAAAAAAAAAGGATACTTAAAAGCCCTAGAGATAACTTAAATGCACTCTGCACAAAGATGAATTTTAGGTTCTTTCATTTGAAGCTGTTTTCTGCTTGGTAAATCATTATGAAAGGGTCAGATTCTACCAGCCCTTCTCGTGCAGAGCTCTTAATGACTTTAGTAGCACAACCTCTTCCCCCAAAATAAAATGGTGGAATAGAACCCCAGGCTAATGGAATTTCAGTCCGTCACCAAGGAGTAAAAGCAGAAGTACTCTTGTCCTTGCACCCTTCTCCTCCCTGGGAAGTGAATCAGTCTGTAAAAGCAGCACAAAACCTAAAAAGTATGTGTGGCCTTTCTACTGAGCCAGTTTATATGTATAAAAAATAAATCCTATTCTATAAACTCTATTAGAGTTTTTCTTTCCTGTTGCCTTTTAAGTAGGAATCACTTTGAAAATGTTTCACTCTTTTGAAATGGCTTTGTTTTATTTAAGGCTTTCTTTTGTATGAGCTGCACTAGCAGGTTGTCGGAGAAGCAAGAACTCTATAGTCATTATGGGCTGAAGCAGGGGTGGGCAAAATGTGGCCCGCCAGGCCATGCTATCCAGCCTGCAGGGGCTCCCCGCCCCCAAATTTAGAAAATGAATATTTATCTGCCCCTGGCTGCCGGTCATGTGGCCCTTGATAGCTTGCCAAACCTCAGTAAGCGACCTTCCGCCCGAAATAATTGCCTGCCCCTGGGCTGAAGGGTATATCTCTGTTCCTGTGCAGCTGCAATACAAAGCTTAAGATATAGGGGTATAGGTTGTAGCTGTGTTGGTCTAAGGACATAGGCAGACAAGGTTCTTTGGGTAAATATGGTATCTTTTAGTTGGTCTAATAAAAGATACCAGATTTACCCAAAGAGCTTTGCCTGCCTAACTTAAGATACTACATTTCTACAGGCCCATTTTTGAGCCTGCTACTACTTAATTTTGCTCTGTAAACAACCCTCTTAAAAAAGCTACCAGAAGTACCACATAATTTAATTTCCTTAATATACTCATAGATCTTCTGCTAGAACTACAAACCATTTCTTAAAATGATAATTTGTCTTATTTACTGAAGCACAACCAAAGTCATGTCTCTAAACATGGCCACAAAATATTGTAAAAGAAAGCAGAAGGTAAAAGTCAGACTTCAACCATTCAGATTAAAGGGATTGTTTTACCCTGTGACTTGCTCATGCCTCCTGTAAACAGGAGTCCAATGCCCTGTGGCACATGAACTACTGGACCTGGGCATTTCAAATTCAGTAACCTTTTTTTTTGATGGACTTGATGCAATTCCCATTGATATTTACCTTAAACCTCTTAGTGGCAACTCCTAGTGATTTCAGTGGTAACAGGAGTGGGTCCAGTGACTAAAACCTCAGGTGTTCAGATTAAAGAAGCTTCCTTTTCTGGCCAAACAAGCGGGAACACATGAATTGCAAAGCCTTTCTTGCTGTCATTAAAGTGTCCTTTTGAAACGTGTTCTGGCTGACTTTAAGGAGACAACTAGTTATTGGAAACCGTTTTTAAAGGTGTAGCATATACACTTCATAACATATCCACACTATACAATAAGCGCATCTGGTACCTGGCAGCTGGCCTGCCCTGTTATGCCTCTGTATTCTGCAAAAGTAAGGTTAGCGGGATTTATTTTTAAATACTCATCACTAATGAAGTGAACATTATAGAAATACAGAATATTTGTACTTCCCGCTGCCCCAAAGATGCTAAATAGTAAATTCTAGGATTTTACTATTTGTGTGTGTGTGAGACTGCTTTTCTCACCTTGTCATCATTTCTTTACCTTGCCTTTATTAGGTGCCATCTTTGTTCAGAAATTGAGCTCCTTCCTATATGAATGGTTTAAAAAAAAAGAGAGAAAACAGAAGCTTCTTGACTGGTGTGCTACATCAAAATAACTAGGCTTCTATGGAGCACAGTCACTGCTGCAAATTTACATGCACACCACAAAGAATTAATTGTGCAATCATCTGATACTCATCATCAATATGCAGCTTTACAAATGGCACTGCTTAAGTTCTAGAAGTTAGCTGTCCAACAATGTCCTTTAGTTTATGAAATGTGGCCAGCCACCTTACTTAATGACTGGGTCGTCAACAGTTTTAGAAAAGATTATATTGCCTTTGTATTATGCACAGCACATTTGCGTATAACCAAAACAATCTAAAAAGAAACCACAAATTGTAAAAGCCTGACCACATAATGCTTAGGTTAATAGGAAACATGAAACCCTTAAGTTCAGTGAAGTAACTTTCCAGGTGTCCCTGTTTTTGTAATAAATAGTGTTTTATTAATATATATAAATAAAAGAAACATTGTATTGAATGAGAACAGATAAGTTCTGTTCTTTCTCTGTGTGTGTGTTTGTGTGTATGCTCAGGGCCAAATACTGATTTCTTTACTACAGAAGTTTTATTGACATCAATACAGATGGGGTTCACATAAGAGAGAAGATAAAGTTTAATAGCATTTGTATTTTAGTAAATGCTTATCATACTATTCAATAATGGGATGGAATTGGTAAATACAAATGAAATCTTTATAAAATACAAGACTGTAATTATGATAGTTTTAGCCTGTTAGATGTCCGAAGGGTAAAAATAAACATGTAATTCAGAAACTGAATTACCTGTGTTGGAAGGCATGTAGTTGTTTAATTCTGAAACCATGTTTAGTTTATGACACTTTCTCCAGCAGGATAGTATTTGACTATGTACATTAACATGGCAAAAAATGAATCTCCATGCCTTCTCAGTAAATAATAAAGGACTGGGCCAATTCTTGCCTTATGTTTAGGGTCCAGTACTGAATTATTTGTATATCTAAATAGAAATATGTGGGAGCAAGAGTCTTGAGTGGAAAGTTGAATCAAGCATTTAATCGTGAGAGAAATTCATTCATTTTTCATTTGCGAAGTGGGAAGTTGGTGCTTATTTTTTTGTATACGCTGCAATGAATTGGTTAGTTTGGTTAGTGTCCTCTACTGGTGAGAAGCAGAACAGCTCAAAAGTGTTTGATGGACTCTCATACAGCTGTCGAGGATTTGGCGCAAGTAGCAGGGCTCTGTTTTTGCAAGAGGACGGTCTAAGCCCTTTCCCTGCTGTTCATGAGTTCTGAATGGCAGTAACATGCAAAACTAAGATTTGAATGTTAGTGAACCCCAGACATTAAGGATGATGTGTCCAACTAAGGAAGTATGCGATGGACCGAATAAGAACAGCCCTACTGTACACTTTCTATACTTAAAACTGGAGCTGATCAGAAAACTTTGCGATGCAACATGGTTGAATCAGCACATTTCATAAACATGGTTCAGTTTCACTGCAGTTCTGTTGGAAACCCAAGCAGCTTTGGAGACCTGCCTGTGTCCTATTGCCTCGCTTGCTTGGCCCTTCAGCAACACACTCCATGGCTGGGTGTGGAGCCTGGTTTCCAGAGTCCATGGCTCTGGGACAGCTAGCCATGTGGACTGCCCTGGAGCTGAGGACCTAAGGACTTCTAACATTTGTGACAAAAGACTACCTTGGAATCGGGATCTGTCAGGGTCTGTGTTCTGAGACAGCTCACCAGGTAAACTGCCTGCAAGCCAGGGCTCCAGTCCCTTTCTGTAGAAAATTTTGAAATGCTTGGGTTTTGTTCTTAGGTGGAGCAAAAACAAATCTTGAAATACTAAAATCCTCTACAGCATGGAATCCCCTGTTCCTAGGAAGCCATGCTTGTAAGTGCTGATAGCTAAAGCAGAGTTTCCTTTAGCCCAAATAGTATGGTCCTGTGCTTTTAGGGCCGAAGACTCAGCTCTCTGTGGCTACTATTAAGTTTTGCAGAAAGGAGAGCATGGTGGTGCCTTATGGACTAACTCGTTCAGAGGCATGAGCTCTAGTAGGCCTATTTCACCAGATGCCTCTAAGCGAGTTACTCTGTAAGTTGCCAACCTGCCCTGCCCTCTGCCTAACTTCAGAATAATATCTGAAGTTCTGGATAGTGATGATAGCATGGTAACAACTGTCACATCTTCAGCGGCCCTGGCTTTATTACAGGATATTTCCTGATGCTTTCATATATACCTTTGGAAGAAATATCATAAACTTTGAGTTAGATATATCTACCCTTGAGGGTAGGTTGCAGGGTCAGTTCCTGGTCAGTAAAGTGGAGCAAAGCTGATTTACACCAGCCAAGGTTCTGACCATTTGTTTTTAAACAGGACCTTCAAAGAATTAAAAGCAAATGAGTCTACTGATTCAATCTTATTTTCCCTTCTATGAGAGAGAATAATACTTCCAAAATCATAGTCACTGGAGCTATGACTTTCAGGTCAAATGGCTTTCAGGTAAGACAGTGGTACAGGCAACAATAAACATGTAATAGTGTAGCACTGAAATATTTAGTCCAGCATAGTAGGGAATTCAAAGAGATTTTTAAATGAACAGTGCCATTACATATGAAGTTCAAGACTGATTGATGTATCATTAGTTATGTGGACACTGATTTTTTTTTTTTAAGACTTAAAAGAAAAAAACCCAGTAACTATCAAAAAATAATAATAAAAAAATATATATATATATATATAAACATTCTTATTTTCAGCTCCTTCATCCATTAAGAAGGCTCTTCCTTGTATCCACAGCAACACTAGGTTAGCTGGCAACCTTGGTGCAAGATTCTCTACAGTGGAGCCTTGCCAATGCAAACAGCGTGCAGTAGTTCAATACTGTTAGGCCCCTTTATCTTCCTCAACTCAGCTCTAGCTGCTCCGAGGAAGCTGTTTTCCTTGCAGACATACTGAGAAGGAAAATCTTGCCTTTAATCCCGGAGCTACCATTCTCAAGCCATTTGCAAGTCTTAGAAAATGTTCTAATGCTTCTTAGAAATGGTAATTTTTGCTTCTAAGTCTGGATTCTCATCTGGTGTAAATCAGTATAACTCCTTCAATGTCAGTGGTTCTGTGTTGGCTTACATCATCTACAGATGCCTTACCTGGCTTCCTTTGAACATAATACAATTAGGAATGATTTAGCTGTGGTCCTGCTTCTGGCTCTTGGGCCATCTTTCCTACATACTACAGTGAGCATTTGTACACCTCTTTCTTGAAGGATAAGGGGGTGGTTTAGAAAGAGATTTGTTACTTGTGCATGAGAGGAGGAGTAGAGGCTCCATCCAAGCCAAGTGATTCTGTGTCTTAACCTAGCATGTGAAAAATTATGACAACTTAATTCTTAAGGGGATTTAGGGATAGAATGGCTGGTGTTAAGGAAAAAGGCTACTTCATCACTTCATGAAGTTAATGTTGGTGTACAGAAGTGATAAATGGACTGTGGAAGAAAAAGAAAAGTGTTATGGGATTAAGTTAAGAGCGAGATCTATTAAGGAATGTGGAATAATTTCTCAAGGGAGGAGATGGGAACCCCTCAACTAGGGATATTTTAAGTAAATAAAGTCAGTCAAATCATCGGCAACAAATAGGGAATGACCAAGTGCTGGAGCAGAAGTAGACTAGGTCATGAAATGATTTTGTTGTGAATATATAAAGCTCTTCTAGCATGTAGATAGGTCTAGGCAGCAATACTGTGGTGGCTAGAAGAAATAACTGAGCCCTCAAATTAGGGACACAGTAGTTAGGAACATGGGGAGCTAGTGCTTTAATGTGTGCCTGGCCTTGTTCAATGAGAGGCCTCTTAGAGAGAATCCAGGCTTGGGGTGGTGTTAGGGTGACCACCCCTCTCTAATTAGGCGGGGGACGGGATGACACAGTCCCAACATGTAAAGATCAAGCCCTGGTCCGGGGCTGAATGACTCTGGGACTATATTTGCCCCATATTCTCAACACAGTTCTCATCTGTCACCTCCCCTTGCCCCCACTCCTCCCCAGTCTCTGGGGCTCTGTCTCCCTGGCTGCACATGTCATTCAGAGATGGCACCAGGTCCACAGCCCTGGCCCCCAGTGCACTGCAGAAGGGCAAACCCACCCTTAGAGCATCCCCCAGGGGAAAGCAGCGCTCACCCCCTCTCCTAGTGAGCAGGGCTCTGGGTGGGGGGGCAGCTTGCTTTCCTGACCCCTTGCCAACTCCTCCTGCCACCCCTTGCCAGTGCCCTATATCACCCCAGTACAATACCCCCCATTTTTTAATGGCATGTGTCCCACTTTTGCATTTGGAAAAGGTGGTCCCCCTAGGTGGTGAGGTGCCCCTCTGAGGCCCTGTTTTCAGTCCAGGAACCAGGCTGAGAGCTGGGCACACCAGCCAGGAAACAGGAGGGCATCACTGAAAGGGCAATTTGGGAAAGGGCAGGGGATGGGGCATATGGAGGTTGGGGAGCAGCGCAGCCTCAGAGTGGGCATGTGGCCCACTGTGTTGCCCTGGAGCTGGCTGCTGGCAGGGCAACACCACGTGGCACATGCGCTGCTAGCCGCCAGCTCCAGGGGAGCGGAGAAACCTGCGGCTTTTCCCCAAGGTGGAGGGGAAGAGGAGCCCCCTTCTGGAGCGAGCCGGGCTCCGGCGCCTTCCCGCAAGGGCCGAGGAGGCAGGGAAAGCCCTGCCGCAGGCTGAGCAGCGGGGCTTTCTTTTACTTTTCCTGCAGGGGGGACTATGCCCCTCGCTCCGGGCCCACTGGAGGGGAGGGGAGGAGAAAGAAGAAGAAGAAGGAGGGGAAGGGAAAAAAAAATAAAAACGAAATAAATAAATAAAAAAGCCAGGAGGAATCCTCCTTCCCCTGCCATCTCACCACGTCACGGAGCCGGGAGGCGAGCACGTGGGGCGGGGAGGGAGCCCTTATAAATCTCCGTCTCGCCGCCGAGCCCGTGATGTTATCTGCTGGCACCGGGCCCCCCCGAGCCCCCTCCCCGGCGTGAGCACAGCCAGAGGGGAGCGCGGCACAGGGAGGAGGGCAGGGCAGGGCAGGGCAGGGCAGGACTGCTCCGCTCCGGGAGGCGCCAAGCCGGTGGGGGAAATAGAAGGAGAAGGAGGAGGGCGCGGGGGTGGCAGTGGCAGGGCGCTGGGGGAGCTCCCCCGCGGCTGTCGGAAGAGGAGGGAGTTGGAAAGAAAAAGGCGAGAAAAAAACAAGGAAAAACCAGCCCAAGTTTTGGTTTTGTTTTTTATATTTTATTTATTTCATTTTGTTGCCGTTGTT